AAGACCTGCCCCTGTGCTCACCGCAGCCTTGTGGTCCACAGTTCCTTTCAAGGTGCACAAATTCGTGCACTGGGCCCCTAGTATTAAACAATACAATTCCAAGTGTCTATTAAGGCCCATAGACTGTTTTCATTCACACTAAATGACCCCAGGCTGCTGTGGTTTGAGTGTCATTTTTATCTATCATCTATCTATCTATCTATTATTATTGACAGTATGATAGGTGTCCCTCATTTACTCCCCCACTGTTCTCCTCTACACTAAGTCCCAATCCCACCTCAAGCCTTCCCCACACTATTGTCTGTGTCCATGGGTTATGCATACATATTCTTTGGTTGATCTCTTCCTGTCTCTTTCACCCCCTCTCCCCTCTGAGATCTATCATTCAGTTCAATGCTTCCATGCCTCTGGACCTATTTTGTTAGTTTAGTTTTTAAATCAGATTCCACATATGTGAGATCATGTGATATTTGTCCATCCATGCTGCTGCAAAGGGGAAGAGCGCCTTCGTTTTTTACAGCTGCAGAGTATTCCATTGTGTAAATGTACCTGTGTCATTTTTAGTCTGTCTTCTCCCAGCTTTATTATTATTATTATTATTATTATTATTATTATTACTGCTGTCAACTATTCTTCCTCTGACTCAAACTTCTTTTAGATTGGCACTTTCAGTTTTGATGGGCCAAGAAACCAGACACATGGTCTTAATACACCACTATGTAAAATAGAGGGAAACTGCCTCTTTGATAGTTTGAGGAATCTTCTCATAATTGATGAGTTTTAGAGATTAGACTTACAACAACTATTTGACTACTCAAGATTTTTACATATTCTCAGTTCCATACAATTGAATAAAGAACAGGCAAAGTATTATTGAAGTCACAATGTGAGGTTCTATTATTTAATAATGCTATATTGCTAAGTTCATATTGGGGCTCTTTTTCATTCATTCAAAAACATTTTTGAGCATCTAGTGTACACCAGGGAATGTTCTAGGTGCTAGGGATACAGACAATGATCAAAGTCCCTTAGAATTTACATTCTAATTGGGGAGAGATAAAGCAGTAAGTACTATCAAGAGAAAAGGGGATAATGCAATAGAGCAATTAGGATGGGGGAGAATTAGACAGGATGGCATATTAGTGAGGGTCTGATGGAAACGGAGAACTACTAGGATATCACATACACACATACACACCATCTTTAACATATAAAATAAGGGATTTATTATGGGGATTATAGGAGGCTGATCCTTTTGTGTCTGACAGGTGGGGATGATGGGTGTGAAGCGGGGAGGGAAGCAAGGGCACACTGGAGCCTGCCAGGTGAGCAGAATCCATGGGGACTGAGTGGAACTCATGCCAATCTCTCACTGTTTCCAAGCCTCCAACAATGAGTTGTTCTGCAAAAACCTGGCACCCTTTGTCACGTAGTAAAACATATACCTGGCCCAGGAGTCAGAATAGCTGAAGGAGGCAACCCAGCAGCAGCTGTGGTCCTGTGGGCCTGGCTGTTGGCCTATAAGCCAAGAAGATGAACCAACCAGCAGATAAGCAACAACGTTGGTGAGCACGTTGCTTGGACCTTTCAATTATAAAAAGAATCTGGATCTTGCTACTTTACTTCCATCTTCTAAATCTTGCAGCAAACATCTCTTGTGACCTATACTATCCTGGAATTATGCAGGGAGAATTCTGAGGAACATATCTCCAGCTTATCTAAATTTGCAACAAATAAATCCACTGCCGATGGTCAGAGGTGTCTAAAAATATTTGAGCTGAGAACCTAAAGAATGAGAAGGATTTAGCCATGTAACCATGCCAAGATTTGGAAGAGAATATTTCAGGCAGAAAAAAGGGTAAATGCAAAGGTTCGGGGGCAGTGATATAACTGAGGTTATTTTTAATAATGAGGGTGGGGCCTGGTGAGAGGGAGAGTGGTACAATATATCAGAGGTAGAGGAAGGGACCAGGTCATGTGGGGCCGTGTAAAATATGGTAATGAGCATGGATCACTTTTCTGTAAGTGCAATGGGAAGCAGTTTTTAACAGGAAAATTGTAGTTTGACCTGATTTACATTTTTTTTCTATTGTAAACTAATTTAAAAGTTAAAAAAAAAAAAAGGCATAAGGTTAGCACCAAGAATTCTATCATCCAGCTTTGCTTTGCAGAGAATGGGCTTTAGTGAACAGGGCCACTTTTTCCATGACACCGAGCCTCCTGGTAGTCTACGTCGATGACTCCTAGAACACAAGGCACATGAAGCCCTTCAGTTGTGCAGGGAGGATGTCCAAGTGTGGAAGCAGCAATATTACTTAGAGAACCACTGCAGGAGTTCCAGCCAAAGATCTACACTAGTTTTCTTAACTCACCAGTCTCATTCATATAGTCTCAATTCATGAACTCAGGTTGAAACAAAAATAGTATTACCTCTCCAGATTTGGTCTCAAATTGACTATCGCAATTCCCCCAAACAAAAAAACCCTAAAAGATTTGTTACCACTAAGTTATCCAGAGAATGTTTCACAAATCATTTTGGGTTTTCCAGAGACTTAGAAGCATGAACAGACTGTTGAACCTCAGAGGGAAGGTAGGGGAGAGTGGGTGGGAAGAGATGAACCAATGAACTTGTATGCATATATGCATAACCTGTGGACACAGACAATGGGGTGGTGAGGGCCTGGGGTGGGGGGACGGAGAGGGCTGGAAGAAGTTAATGGAGGAAAAAGGAAGACCTATGTAATACTTTCAATAATAAAGATTAAAAAAATATAATAATTTCGGGTTTTCAAATACTTTCCAGAGAATATGCACAACCTCCTAAGGGAAACATATTGAAGGGCGCAATGTTCATGCTAATGTGTAAATCCTACTCTCATTATGTTTAAGTTGGCCTTAGACTTGCATATCTTCTATTTTCATTAGACTTGGCTTACTTTACTTGAGATCATGAAAAACTTCCCTAAAGCAAGCTCTTCTGCCTGGATTATCTCTCCCTGCTAGCAATGCTTTCTTGCTGAAAGCCAAGGTTCAAATATTGAAGTGTGCTGAGGTGCCCACTTAATTAAGTAGGAATTAACATTATTATACATATCAATACAAATAAACATCTTTTATACCTTTCTAAAGAAAAAAAACCCAAAATGTTTCTTTTTTTCTTTTCTTTTCTTTTTTTTTTAAAGAAAGGGCTCTGGACAGATCATTCATCTTTAAAAAATAAAATAAAAATAAATTTTTAGAAATTGTTATTAACAGAGAAAGAAAATAGAAAAGTTTTGAACTTTAAATAGTTTGCATTATACACTCATCTTTCTGTAATCTTTAGTGACATATCTCCATGTAAACATTCAGAAAAAGGGGAATGCTATGCCATGACTTAAGAAATAATAAATTTTGGCTCTGATTACTAAACTTTATTAACAACTCTTTTTTAAAAATATATTTTTATTGATTTTTTACAGAGAGGAAGGGAGAGGGATAGAGAGTTAGAAACATTGATGAGAGAGAAACATCGATCAGCTGCCTCCTGCACACCCCCTACTGGGGATATGCCCGCAACCAAGGTACATGCCCTTAACTGGAATCAAACCTGGGACCCTTCAGTCCGCAAGCCGACGCTCTATCCACTGAGCCAAACCGGTTTCGGCTGTAATAATGAATTCTGATAATAAACTGTCACTACATTTGAGTGAGATAAAATATAGCCTTTCAGATCAAGCAGTTTTCTTTCATAAATTTTAAATTACTAAAATACTAATTATTTTTATTAAGCATTTCACAAGTACATATTCAGTTACTTAAAGAAGTCATAGCCAAAGAAATATTTCTACATAAGTTGCTAATCTGCAAAAACAAATACCTGGGGGGAAAAAAACACCTGACTTTTCTGGTTCATTTCTTTACATACTACGTTATACACATCTATAATAATAAAAGCATAATATGCTAATTAGACCGATGTCTTTCCGGATGACCTTCCAGACGAAGCCGGGGCTGTGAGAGTACCCCTGGTCCCGGGTGCCAGAGAAAAGCTGGTGCCAGCAGTCAGGGGAAGGAAGGCCTACTCTTGCACGAATTTCATGCATCGGGCCTCTAGTATTGATATAATACTGTAACTTTAAGGATAGGTAGAACAATGTTTATTTGTTGTTAAAAAATAATTAATTGTAGGTAAAATACACAGATTACACAAAAAGTCCATTCTGCGGGATTTGATTAAAAATCTTAAAATTCTTAAAATGTTAACCATTTAACTAACCAAACCTGTTGTCAAAACTACCAAAATGAATAATATTGATTTACTGCAGTTTTACTACATGACGAAGAAAAGAAAAGAAAAAAGACTTTTGCTTTGCCCGGCCAACATGGCTCAGCAGTTAAGCATCGATTTTTTTTTTTTAATATATTTTCATTGATTTCAGAGAGAGAGAGGGAGAGAGAGATAGAAACATCAATGATGAGAGAGAATCATTGATTGGCTGCTTCCTGCATGCCCCCAACTGGGGATCAAGCCCTCAACCTGGGCATGTGCCCTTGGCAGTAATTGAACTCGGGACCCTTCAGTCCGCAGACCAATGCTCTATCCACTGAGCCAAATTGGCTAGGGCTAAGCGTCAATTTATGAACCAGGAGGTCAAGGTTCAATTCCCAGTCAGGGCATATGCCTAGGTTGTGGGCTCGATCCCCAGTGTGGGGCCTGCAGGAGGCAGCTGATCAATGATTCTCTCTCATCATTGATGATTCTATTTCTCTCTCCCTCTCCCTTCCCCTCTGAATCAATAAAAGTTTTTTTTTTAAAAAAGACTTGCTTTTTAACCCACAGTGAAGATACATAGTGTAGTCACTTGCTGTCTATTTTAAGATTCTAAAAATCTTCTAGAACCTTTCATTTTCCTTGTGAAGAGAATGTGTACTGCTCCTCTCTTGGGTTGCTTCTCCTTTTTTAACATCATCTAGAGCCCTTTTTACCCCCAAAGTTTCTCACACTCTTTTCTCTTAGATGACTCTGAATGTTTAATAGAAACATAGAATATTTTAAAGCTGGACAGAGCTTAAATAATTTAGCTTATGCATTTTAGATGAGGAAATTGAGGCCTAAAGAGGCAAAACACATAGAAGCCCATCAAAGGCAAAGCTGCAAGATCAGCTCAGTTATACTCTATGGCTGTGGGTCAGAAAAGAGGGGAAAAAGTTAAAAAAAAAGGTCAAAATAGGAAAAAAACTTCAGTTCTGGGTCAGAAAACTTGCGTCTGAGTCTTGGCTCTGCCACTCAACAGCTGACTGACATTTGGAAATATGCTTCATGCCACTGAGCCCTGATTCTTTATCTGCAAAACAGGAATAAGCAAACCTATACCTTACTGAGGTTTTATTGAGGATAAAATGGAAGAACACATATGAATATGTCCTAAAACCAATGAACAACTACACACATTGCCTATTATTAAGAAGAAACTAAATAGGGTATATGGGAACTAAAACTGTATTCCTGTGTTCAGTCATGTTAAATTCAAACCAACTTTGAATAGAAAAATTGTATTAGGACAGAAATAATTTACAAAAAAGAAAAACAAACAAGAAGTAAATAGCAAGTTTACATTAAAAAATAAATAAAAGGCTCAAAAAGATACTCACCTTCTGCCAAACTCCCCATAAAAGGTAACCCTATTCCATCTTTGGAGTAACTGAGGAATTGAAGAGGAGAGTATCAGTATAAATTACAAGTGTGAAAAAAAATGTTTATAATCAAATCAAGCATAATTTTGGTGGACTAATTAGGATTAATTAGACGTAATGATGAACACAGTTTTAGTGGTTGTAAGTTACCTGGAGAAATGAATGTAATTAGCTAAAGCTGAACCAGCTTGTAACAGCAATGCAGTTGTCAGAACCTTTAAAATCATGTGCATGGGTCCTCCTTTATTAATAGCCTGCCACAATGATTGAGCATAAATGCAAGCAATCACAAAGTACACTAGGACTAGGAGGAAAAAGAACTCATGTAACCCTGTGAAGAGAAGAAAGGAGTTTGCTTCAGTAAAACAAGCCAGTTATAGTATTGGGTTGCTTTCAAATTTCCTATCAATACATTTCTAGAACTTGTTTTTTAAATGAAGTCATAGCATTCACTTTTGTAAGAGGGGAAAAAAAGGAGATCGTTGATATTTAAAAATTTTATACTTTTGGACAGTTCTAACTATAGGAAGACAGATTAAACTAGTTAATCTATTAAAAAGCATAGTGGTCAAGGCATAAGCCCAAAGACTACCCATAAGATCAAAGTTTTGTTCAAAAATAGTAAATTAAAACAATGATTTCAGCATTGTTAGATATACTTTTTAACCTCAAAGTGGATTTCTTTTGTAAGATACTTAGAAACAGATTTAGTTAATCAACAATAGTAAAATATACCCTGACAACAGGTCTCAAAGTGTGATCCAAGAGCCAGTATCAACAGCATCACTAGGGAACTTGTTAGAAATGAAAATTCCTGAGCCTCATTCCAGATCTACTGAATCAAAAACTCTGGGTGCAGGGCCCAGCAATCTGTGTTTTAATAAACCCTTCAGGTGATTCTGATTGCAGCTAAGTGCGAGAGCCACAGCTCTGGAATGTATTACCTTAAACTTCCATTTGGACAAAGCTTCAAAATACCTGTCCTTCACAGTTAACTTAACTATAACACCTGACTAAATGGCCACCAGTCCAAAGACTAGCCATTGGCCAAAAAACAGCATAACTTGGTTCTCAAAAATAAATTAGGCTAATCATATTCTCTTGGGAAATCAAACCACAAAACATGGAAAGGATTAGGCAACAGAAATTGAAGCTAAAAAGGGCTGATATTGGGATAGGCTAAAGGAGTCAACCCAGACCATGATAAAATAAAAATTTTGAGTACATTGAAATTTTGAATGATCAAAGGGAGCTGGTTGGTAAAAACAAAGTAAATGTGCAGATTTCATATTAAAAATGGTGCCAGTCATTAAGCGGCCTCTCGCTCCCTCCTACTAGCAGCTTTTCAGTTCAGACTTCCTGCATCTTCATGATAAATCCCTCCCACCCCTTTCTTGCATTACCTGGAATATTTTGACTGTCTTAATTTTTCAGAAATTTCAGAAAATTTTTATAATAAACCAGAAGGCTAGCTTTGAGTTTAATGAATTACATTTACTTGGTTACATCTAAAGTTAGTCTTCAATATTAGGGCTTTTATATCCTATGTAAATAACACTAGTGACAGTGGATATGGATAGAGCTGTCTCTATTGAACCTGTGGATGAACAGTCTAAATTGCAATCGCTTCCGTTCCAATTGTGAATACCGAACCTACTCCAATTCTCATTTGTGGGAAACTCCAGCCAAAAGGCAGAGAAGGGAATATTTCCATTATATGAAAAATAATTTTAGAAAAGCAATCCAGATACCAATAGGAAAAATAGTCAATAAACAGTTCAATCTCAATCATGTCTTTGGCAGGGTTAGGAGAAAAAAGAGAGATAAGAAGTATTTCAGCCACTGGGTGTCTCTCCTGCTCTATGTATACGAACGGCGACAGTCCACTCTAGTCCAGGTGAAAAGGCACGTTTACATTTAGTCTTCAGGAAGAGAAAATCAAATAACAGAAAAGGCATATTTGATAAAATTCCCTACATAGAAAAAGTATTCAGCTTTAGAAATAAAAGGACAATAAACCTGGGATTGTCATAGTAATGGAACAAGATGGAAAATATGCTGATTATATTATAACTCAGTAAAATTCTTTTTGCTAGCTTGTGTTTTAAATCCTAGTTTTTATCTTTCATTCTTAGTATGAAGAATTAAACCTGGCATTCTATTTAAAGTTTTACTTATTTAAATTCTGTACAGAATATCCATTACAAGGTAAAGTTTTAGACTTCATTAGGTTACAAAGCCAGCATGGAAAGAAAATCCTCAGACGATTTACCGAGTAATCAGAATAATATAGGAGAAGGAGGAAATTTTGAAAATAAGACATGTCACCAGCAAAAAAGTGTTTCAGGATTATTCAAGATTAAGTGTACCTTTTGAAAAAGCTAACATTATAATCAACAAATTATTTCATTGAGGTAATATATTAAATACCTTGAACTAGGTCATTTGTCCTACACTTAGTTCATTGAATTTTGCATAAATTATTTTTACCATGACCCTGTCCACAAAACACTTTAAAGATAAAACATGAATTCTGCCCTCTGTGTTCTTTTAAATAAATCACCTTTAGAAAAAAAAAATCTTTTTTCTCTTCAGCTATCAATTTTACTTTTGTTCTGCCACCATCCTTCACAAGAAAGCAATCTATGTTCACTTTGAAATTAAAATCTAATTTTAAAACAGATGGGTACTAGGTATTAAATTTTACCTACACACGAAAGAAGAAAAATGCTCTTAAATGAGCATGCAACAAGTGACAAACTCTTACATTATTAGGAAATGTATAGACTTTAAGGCAGTGGTTCTCAACCTTCTGGCCCTTTAAATACAGTTCCTCATGTTGTGACCCAACCATAAAATTATTTTTGTTGCTACTTCATAACTGTAATGTTGCTACTGTTATGAATCGTAATGTAAATATCTGATATGCAGGATGGTCTTAGGTGACCCCTGTGAAAGGGTCGTTCGACCACCAAAGGGGTCGCGACCCACAGGTTGAGAACCGCTGCTTTAAGGCAAGCTTAATAGGAAGAAGCATTGGCAACATTCAGTAGTAAGAAAACTTAACAGGACAGCTTTAAAAACTTCAGCTCTAGCCCAGCTGGTGTGGCGCAGTGGTTGAACATCAACCCATGAACCAGGAAGTCACAGTTCGATTCCCAGTCAGCGCACATGCCCAGGTTGCAGGCTCCATCCCCAGTAGGGGGCATGTAGGAGAGAGCCGATCAATGATTCTCTCCCATCATTGATGTTTCTCTCTCTCCCTCTCCCTCTCTCCCTCTCCCAGCCTCTCTGGAATCAATAAAAACATATTAAAAAGAACAACACAAAAACTTCAGCTCCAACTAAAATGATAGGAGATGGGAGACAAGAGGGTAAGAGAAGGGAAGAGAGTCACTGGGTCACAGGCAGCACCTGGGACACTCTAGCCTACCCATGATGCTTGCTCTCTCAGAGGCACAGGGTCCATCCTGCCCTCAAGTGTCTCAAGATATATCTTAATTAGAGGCCCGGTGCATGAATTCGTGCATGGGTGGGGTCCGGCCGACCTGCCCGATGGGGGCCCATAGGGCTGGGCCAGCCAGGGGAAGGGGCTACGGGCAATTGGCCAGCTGGGCCGGCTGGGGGTGGGCCGATCTGGCCCCGAATCAGGCTGGTTGGCTGCCGCAGTGCGTGCCACCGGTCATTCCGCCGTTCCAGTCACTGGGCTTTTATATATGTAGACTAGAGGCCCGGTGCACAAAATTTGTGCACGGTGAGGGGGGGGGAGTGTCCCTCAGCCTGGCCTGCACCCTCTCCAATCCGGGACCCCTCAGAGGATCGGGGGATGTCCAACTGCCGATCACACCCTAGAGCACTCCCGTGGTCCCTCCCCGGCTGGCCAACCTCCCGCGTCCCTCCCCCGGCCCTGATGGGGACCCTCGGCCTGGCCTGCGCCGTCTTGAAATTCAGGACCCCTCAATCCAGGACCCCTCAGGGGATGTTGGAGAGCTGGTTTCGGCCTGATCCCGCAGGCCAGGCTGAGGGACCCCACTGGTGCACGAATTTGTGCACCGGGCCTCTAGTGAAAAATAAATGCCAACATCTTTCAGAAAGATAAAAGAAATGGTAGCATTGACTTAACTTCTAATAGTAATCTATAATTGTTAGTGTAGGTAGCTAGATATTAATAAAGGAAGGAAGCAAAGGGAATCAGATATCAAGTCTAATAAACTAGAGAGCTGAATCAGACAATAAGCCTGCTTCATCAGGGAGTTACAGCTTCACACACTCTCCAGGAGATCATTGCTTCCTCTATCCTCAGGACCTAACAGGCAGGAAGGATCTTTTAGTCAGACTACTGAGGGAGAGATAAAATAGAAGAAGAAATTCCTCTACTGGGCACATGTGCAGTAGAAGCCAAGATGGCACAGGGAGAGAGGTTCCTCCATTCCTCCACTTTCAGTCTAACATCTAACAAATTCTCTCTCTCTCTCTCTCTCTCTCTCTCTCTCTCTCTCTCTCTCTCTAGCACACTCTTGCCCCATGGTTTCTCTCGCATGTTCTCTCTCCATAGCAGTCATGCAGCCCTAGCAGCCAGCAGCCAGAAGCTGTGGAACTCCAAGCATCGGCCTGCCACAGCAGCAGACCAAGTGCAGCCAGGAACAGACTAAGCTAGCTGGATAAGGTCAGAGGCTAAACTGGAGTAAGGATCCTTTCTGGCATGTCTATCATGAATCACAAGAAATCATTCATTTCTGTTTGGGCTAAGTATCTCATTTCAGTAGTACCATATAATCAACCTAAAATTTTGATGAAAAATTTAATGGGAATACACCTAATTTTGGAAAGCATTATAAACTTTGATCATTCTTAAAACAGTTGAAAGCTCCAATAAATACAATCCTTAAATCTGCTCAAACAACCTATTAAAAGGATAGTCATACAAAGTAGCACAGTTCTAATCTCTCATGGAGTTTCCAATTTCAGTTACTTAGCTTACTAATATTTTTCTGTTTATAAAAATAATGCTAGGTTATCATTTTTTAAAGATTTAGAATATATAGGATAAAATAAAATTGTAAATTTCTACCACTTAACATGGTAATAATCTGTTAATATTCTGTACTTCTTTTCTGCATTTCCTAACATACTTCAAATCATACAGTATAAAATTTAGTGTTTTGCCTTTTTAACTTAATAGCATAGCTATTAAAATGCTATAAGGAGATTCATTTAATCATTTCTCTACTATTAGACACATAAGTTTTTAATTTTTAATATCTAAAAACATAAAAAAATTTGTGCATACAGGTAGATCTTTTTCTGTATTTAGTATATTTAAATGTATATGCTTACCAGATTCTCCAGCACTAAAATGATCAAGTGGATTCCCTTCAGCATCTGGGTTTAGTAACATCATTTCAAATGGTATATCTTCCACCTGAGAATTCTCATTGTCATCTTTGCACGTATACTTGTCTGCATAAAATACGTGCCATGTTTGTGGATACGGAATCTGGGATACTGTCAGATTATGTTCAGTCTGATTCATGGTCACTTTAAAGAGAAAGAAGATAGCACTTTCAAAGAAAAACTCTCACATGTATTTGTTTATCATACAATCAGTTTGAAGTTAGAATTCTCTTAATTCTTTTTTTTTTAAGTTTTTTTGTTTTGTATTTTTATTGATTTGATGTCAAAGAGGAAGGGAGGAGAAAGAGATAGAAACATCGATGAGATAGAATCATTGACCAGCTGCCTCCTGCATGCCCCCTACTGGGGATCAAGCCCCCAACCTGGGCATGTGCCCTGACCTTGAATTGAACCACAATCTCCCAGTTCATAGGTTGAAACTCAACCACTGAGCCACACCTCTTGTTTAATTCTTATAGCCTTAGAAATTCAAACCTTGTTGTAGTATTGGCATATGGTCTGTATATCATGAAGCAGAGAAAAATAATGTATCTTAACCAAAGGAATCACTATGATAGTACTATGAAACACCACAAATGAGTAAACGGTTTTGCTGAAACTCTGATTTTTAATTTTAAATGTTTCAAATTTTTCAAGTAGGTTAGTGACATTAAAATTTTTTAATTAAATTTATTGGGGTGACATTGGTTAATAAGATTACATAGGTTTCAAGTGCACATAATCTTAACATTGGTTAATAAGATTATATAGGTTCCTATGATACATGATCTGTATATTGCATTGTGGTAAAATATACAAAAAACAAGTTACCATTTGAACGATTTTTAAGTGTTCAATTCTGTGGCAATAAATACATTCAAAATGCTGTATAACCACCACAATGACATTTTTGAAAACTGATTTGAGTTAAATTTAAAAGGGAACATTCAACTTAGAAAATCATATCTAATAACTATGACTGACAAATACCTTCAAAAGATTTTCCAAAATCTTTTTCTAACTGTCAATTCTTAAAAAAGGCACTAAAAGCAAAAAAAAAAAAAAGAAAAAGAAATTATAAGAATTATAAGTCACTAGCAGTGATTCTGAGTTATTACACTGGTCAGGTCTATATAGTGGCAGGAGAGAGGAGACTCATGAATGTTGGCATCACACAAAGCTGTACTTGATCCTGGCTCCAATACTTACCTTCCATGTGACCTTGGGCAAATTACATAGCAATGACTCACTTTCTTCAGCTGTAAAACGAAGGTAATACTTAGAGCAAAGAGCAAAGAGCTGATGTAAGGACCAAATTATATGTCACTTGTCATATGATTGTTGCTGAATAAAGATTTATTCTCTTTTTCCTTTCTTTAAAACAGGATGGTTACACTAACAAGTGGTTCTCAATACAGGGTAATCCTTTTCCCTCCTGGGGAATCTGAAAATGTGTAGGGACAGTTTTATTGTCACAATAGTTGAGAAGATACTTGAAGGGGACCATGCTAACTAAGCTTCATGCAATCCAAAGTCTGACAAAAAAGACCTGTTCCTCCCAAAATGCCAATAGTACCCCCTTTGAGAAACACTAAATGATGTTTAAGATCCCTCAATTCAAATCTATGATGCTGACCTAAGACACACTTACTAACACTATCACAAAGTTAAAGGAGAGTAGTGTCTCACACACTATATATAATAAGAAGAGTAGAAGAGTTAAAAGAGCAAGTCTTAGCCCTACTACTTAACAACATATGACTCAGCAAATAAATTACTTAACCTCTCTAAATTTGTTTTTCGGTAGTACAATTAAGATACCTGCCCTAGCTAGCACAGAGGGGAGCAAATGAGATAATATATGAAAATCCTATGTAAAGAGTCTCATTCCGTATGAAGTCAAGTATTCTTAAAATTTAGAATTATCATAGGCCTGATTCCCAACTCTAGACTTCCTACACAGCATGTCAACTAGTCTCAAACTATTTCTCAACTGAAGGAAAAAACTTTTTAATAAATAAAAGGCATGTCTTGAGATAACTGTGGAAATTTGTATATGAAAAATATTTTAGAGGACAGTATGGAATAATTCACTTTAAGAAATCTTAGCTGAGTACAGTATTGCAGTTAAGGAGAAGAATGTCCTTACTCTTGTACAATGTAGGCTGAACTATGGTGGGTTGAATTGCTCATGACACCCACAGCTTATTTTCATGTGGCTTGATTACAAACAAAAATCACACACATACAAACACAAAGCAAATGTAACAAAGTATTAACAATTACTGAATCTAAGCAAAGGATGTACAAGTGGTGGTTGTACTTACTTTAAACTTTTCTGTATGATTGAAAATATTCCTAATTAAAAAATTGGAAAATTTATATAAAGTTGTCTTTATAAGTGAAACACTGATGCATCTAGTCAGGATTCAAATTTTGAGGACTTAGACTTTATAATTAGGAATTTCATTAATAGCAGTTTAAATGGACAAGATGATTTTATCAACAATACCACAGCACTGTTTTTCTGGCTATCTAAATTTAGCTGACATTTATACTGTTGTTGTTTTTTAACTGTACAGCTGCTGGAAAATGTAACAAAGACTCTAATTTCTGTTAAATATTTGAAGACCTTTAGTAAGAATTCAATATACAGTATAATCAATACATGGCTCGCCAGCCCATGTGGCTCAGTGGTTGAGCATTGATCTATGAACAAAGAGGTCACAGTTTAATTCTGGTCAGGGCACATTCCCAGTGTGGGGCATGCAGGAGGCAGCTGATCAATGATTCTCTCTCATCATTGATGTTTCTATCTCTCTCTCCCTCTTCCTTTCTCTCTGAAATCAACAAAAATACATTTAAAGAAATATATACATACATACATGGCTCAGAAATAAGGTTTTTGAAATGTACAGCTTGCAATTACAGAATTTGGACCTGATTATATAAAAGCTCTGCAATATTGCTGTTCTATCACTTGCACTTTTCCTCTTAGATAAAACAATATAAAAATTAGCCATTATATCTTCACCAATACACTTTTTAATGTTTCATTTTAAATTACACAGACTTACATCATATTAAAACAAGAGTGTGCTTCAGAAAGTGTTACAGCCTTAACTTTTGGTCTTGCTGCCTTATTCAGCAAGCCTGGGAAATAAGCCTCTTAACAAAACTGTATATTCATTGTTTTTGAGACAAAAGACTACAGCACAGCACACATGTTCTATGCTGATGTAATCAAATATTAACAAAACTTGAATTGCAGAGAATAATGTTATATGGCTAATTATCCTATATAATAAAATGCTAATACGCAAATTGACCGAACGGCGGAACAACTGGTTGCTATGACGTGCACTGACCACCAGGGGGCAGACGCTCAATGCAGGAGCTGCTCCCTGGTGGTCAGTGTGCTCCCACAGGGGGAGCACCACTCAGCCAGAAGCTGGGCTCATGGCTTGCAGCGGCGGTGGTGGGAGCCTCTCCTGCCTCAGTGGCAGTGCTAAGGATGTCCGACTGATGGCTTAGGCCTGGGGAGCGGGCCTAAGCTGTCAGTCAGACATCCCCCAAGGGCTCCCAGACTGCGAGAGGGTGCAACCCCCTCCCCCACACCGCTGAGTGCACAAATATTATAAAATGAAATGAATACTGTTAACAAAAATACACAGCATAATATACTAAAACTTTTAAAGGAATTATAAACATGACAAATGTACAAAAGAAAATATATGCACATGATGTAAAAAGACATATGAATATGTTTTATATGCAAAATTATATTTAGCTCTTCTAATCTGACAGTAAGTTATTCTTAACTCCTTGCTAAATTTTTTTACATAAATTTATTTTCAGTGCTTTTAAATGCCTTGTTGGCTTGCTTTAAGACCTACAAAATATTTTGTGATTTTTAAAGCTGATGTTTTATGACATTACTAAAAGAGAACAAAGGAAGACTGAAAACTAATTTCTCAAACATTCATTTGGGCAAATGTATACTCAACTGTCAAGCCACATTTGACAATAAGGGATTTTTCAAATCTGCTAGTCTTTTCATTGTTCATAGCAGCAGTAAAGTTTTCCACAGGCGTTAGGAATAGTTAATGAACTCATTACTAAGTAGGTGAAAGACTATTAATTCTTAAAATCTCACTAATGGCCACAAAATAAGAATTATTTCTACGATAAATTATTTTAAAATGTGGTACTATTACACTGACATGAATTTAAGGATATACTTTTTGTTTCAGTGCACCAAAGCTCCTAAACAATAACAACTAATATATAAGTTAGAGAACATACATTTTCTTAAGACTTGGCTTTTGTTATTGGAAAAAGAACTGATGAAATAAGTAGAAAGTGATTTATGTCTCACTAGTACTTAATTTACTTCAGGACCCAAAATTTAACAATACAATCTTCTTCCTCAAAAATTCCTGTTTCTTGAGATCTTCTGTTCCAATAATTTCAAAGAATACTCTTGTACTCAAGAGAGTGGGGAATTGAAAGGGAAAATAAAAAAAGAAACAACAGCAAGAGGTTTTTTAAGTTACAGCCCTATGTATATGCAACTCCATCCTAAAGAATTATAATTAGAATCACAGCATTTTAGGAGTTTCAGAAACCTTAGAAAAAACTAGTCCAGATTCCTTGTTTGCAGATAAGTAAAGTGTGGCTCAAAGTAAAGTGCAAGTCACTAGCAGTGATTTTCAGTTTAGCAGTCTTTCCATTGTACCATACTATCTTCCTGTATACCTAAGTTCTGTGACTGAAGGCATATTATGACTGATACAAAAATTATGCTTTTGCAAGTGTACATAGTATGGGCCATGTGATATAAAGAAACAAATCCTTCCTACAGCTCAAAGCTTTAAACTACCTGGTAAGTTTTTATTGGAGAAAGAAAAAGACTTTGAGGTATCCAATACAAAGTAAACCACCTACCAACCAAAAAAACCCTCAAGTACTAAGGTCTATGATAACTCACCCTACAAATATTTAGTAAATGCTTATTAACTCAGCACTAGAGAATCCTGAATTCTCATTCTCATAGTACCACATAACTAACATCCATAATACTTATCACAGTTGCAGTATCACACTTACAGTGATGTGATTCTTTCCTGTCACCCACTAGCCTTATGCACTCAGTGTGTCAGTATTTTGGTCCATGATTTATCACTAGTGCCTAGCACACTACATGAAACAATAGAAGTGCTCAGTGAGTGAATGAATAAATGAATGAATGAATAGACCAAAAGAGCACTGGTACTCTTACTGATTGCTTTTATAACAAATAAATAAAATGAAAAGTGGTAACTATAATAAGTGCTGCAGGGAAAACAAGAGGCTATAAAAACTCAAGTGTTAACTTAGAGGAGGGAGAAGCCAAAGAAGGGAGGGAATAACAAGAAGAGGAAAGCCTGTATAAAAGTCCAGAATAACACAAAAATTAAACAAGCACTACAAATAAAATGAGGCAGGAGGGGGCATTACTGTGAAATGAAGCTGGTGGGGAGGGGCCGGTAAGCAATGGCCAGACGGAGAAGGATCAGCATGGCTGCAGTGACCAGGTAGGAGGCTACTGCAATAGTATAGGCAAGAGATTATGGCAACCTGGAATAATATGGTAGAGGTGGCGATGAAGAAACTTAGATGAATTCAAGAGATATTCAGAGAGGGGAGTGTTGGAAAACTCCTTGGTTTCCAGTTTGTGTCCGAGATGGATGGTAGTGCCAGTTCCTACAACTGGGAACACTGATAGAGGGCCAGGTTTGGATGGGCAAGGACTATTTATACATATGTGGAACATTCAGGTGAGCAAACTGGTGTATAAAGAAAAAAAGATAATTGGTAATGAGCATTTGCACGAATTTCTCAGGTAAGTTCTGAAATTCAGGGTTGAGGTATCTAACTTTATTTTTTATTTCTCCTCAAGTCATGCAGACTTCTTCAGCATACTGTCAAAGTCATCTCACAAATCTAAATAAAAGACCCCCACAATGGGTGGCAAGGACTGGAGACTTCTACTCTTATCCCTATTCTGGCTCGCTGCCTTATGAGGGAACCAGAGAGCTGCTAAGGCTAGGAAGACTGGGTGTTTAGAAATGGCAGTGTTTTACTTGACTAGACTAACAGAAGATTCAGAGATCCATCAATATGGAAAACAGGATAGAGAAAACATAGAGGAGAAAAGGGAAGAGAGATAATTTCCATTTTTTCTCATGGATGCTTCATATTCCTAATGAAATGAGTAGAATGGCACATGCTTGTCATTTCTATATTAAAAAGTCTGTACTCACTCTGGATGGCTAACACCCTAATGCATGAGATAGTGTTGATGAGAATGCAAGAGCCCAAGGATACAGATAACTAGAATAAAAGCAGTAACTCTTAACTAGAATAAAAGCAGTACCTCTCTAGAGGCAAACCTAAAGGTTTACAAATGATGTGGTACTGGTACATCCTAAAATGACATACTGTGTCACCACATGACAAGGTCCTATGTTCCAATAACATGCTGCAAAACAACAGTGCTTGGGCTAACTTAGACAATTAACTGAGATAATACCTGTTTAGTGCTTAGCTCAGTGCTGGCAGATAATAAGTACTCAACAAATGTTATAATTCACTCTGTGCTGCTACTGGGTCGAAATATATCTGCCACATTAGTATGAATAATGTGACCTGTAAGAAATCTGGATGAAGGAAAAAGTATGTCCTTGTAAGTTATTTGGATATATTTTCAAAAATTTTGCATGATAAAGGGGGAAGAAGGCATTCTATCTTTTAATCAAGGAAAAGGTCAGTTTCCTTAAACTTCAGTTTAAAACATACCAAAGTATCACCACAGTGTGTTCTTTAAATTCCCACTTTGATAAGTAGAAGTGAATTGTCCTACTATCTTGTAATGTGTGCTGTGTCATGAAACACCCTGGTATGCAAACACTACATTTAACATTAAGGAGGAAAAAAAACATACCCAAGAATCAAATAAAAAAGGATATACTCACTTGTCAACTGAGCTTTGGATAATTTTTCGCTACAACTATAACCATTACTGTTTTCCTGCAGCTTCAGCCATTCCTGGGCTTGGAATAGGTGGAGTTTAGCTTCTTTTCCAACAGCTACTGCTACGTTGTTAACTCTGACACACAGAAGAGCATGATCACCTGGACATTGAAACAAAAATCATCAACTAGTTTGGTCTTGTGCAAAAGCAAGATAGTAGGACAATTCACTTCTACTTATCAAAGTGGGAATTTAAAGAACACAATTTTTCTTAAATCTCACTTAACTAGGTAGATAACATTAGAATGAACATCCCATTCAGATGCAAGTCAAGAGATTATGCACATTCATTACCCAAATCAATGTGTGGCCTTTCCTTATACTTCAGCTAACTGATGACATTTCATTGAATAAACAACATTTGCTGTATGTGCATCTTCACTGTAATAGAATTTATGCCTCATTTTACAACCACTCCACGTCTTTAACATGTTCATAAATTATCTATAGAAATTTACTAAGTTTCTTTTGTTTTTCAATATAGCACGGCTGTTAATATTGAATTATACTTTTTAATTTTTTTTTTTTTCAGAGAGGAAGGGAGAGGTATAGAAACATCGATGATGAGAGAGAATCACTGATCGGCTGCCTCCTGCACGCCCCCTATTGTGGATCAAACCCTCAACCTGGGCATGTGCCCTGACGGGGAATCAAACCCTGACCTCCTGGTTCATAGGTCAATGCTCAACCACTGAGCTGTGCTGGACAGGCAATTGAATTATACTTTTAATGTAAAAAAGTAAGCATAGCTAATAGCAAGGAAGTTTAAATAAATGAGGTTTGGGGTAGACATCTTATACCTGACAAAATCAGACATGTGACTTTTACAATACAACTTTCAGAATATGTTGTAAGACTACTACAGAATGAGCCTGGCTGCACACATCAGCTACATTTAAGGCCCAAAAATAAATGTCAGAAAAATAGATGCTCCTATGGAAATGGACTCTGGGTGAGAAGTAAAGCAGGAGACTGATTTTTCATTTTAAAATTATCTTATTGTTTTTACTTTTGTTATAATCATCATTTTGATTAAACATTTTAAGTAAATTTAAATGTATATTATGTATCAAAGAATGTGTAAGTCTCCTATATAAATTGATTACATTATAAATTATAAAAAGCCCTGGCCGGTTTGGCTCAGTGGATGGAGCGTCGGCCTGCAGACTGAAGGGGTCCAGGTTCGATTCCGGTCAAGGGCACATGCCGGGGTTGTGAGCTCAATCCCCGGTGGGGGGCGTGCAGGAGGCGGCCGATCCATGATTCTCTCTCATCATTGATGTTTCTATCTCTCTCTCTCCCTCTCTCTTCCTCTTTGAAATCAATAAAAAATATATTTAAAAAAATTATAAAAAGTTAAGAATGACTTTAAGGTCCTATTAACACCTTAAATTGCATTCTGAATCAGAGTTCATTATTTCAGTATAGTTGTGGTATTATTTTATTAACCTTGCATTAAATGAAAATTGCAATTATACACACACACACACACACACACACACACACACATAGGGGGCCATGGGGAGAGGGGAAGAGTGTTAAAATACTTGGATCACTCTATTCCGCAAGGTTTCTTGAGAAATCTGGACTTACTACATATGTCTCTCCTGCTTACCAGGTAATCATCATGATGACTGTCTAAGTCTTGCTTCTAGACATAGGTAATAACCCATGTCATAGCTTCCATACATTCTACACCTTCCAGCACTGTCCAGATTGTGCCATTTACTGTAGTGATATTGCTTTCATTGTCAAACTCAAAGTTGATTAAGAAACGTAAAATGTTATCTAAAAAAAAAATTCTGGCCTTAGCAGGTTTGGCTCAGTGGATAGAGCGTCAGCCTGCGGAGGAAAGGGTCCCGGGGTAGATTCCGGTCAAGGGCACATACCTTGGTTGGAGGCTCCTCCCCTGGAGGGGCCCTGGTCAGGGCTCATGCAGGAGGCAACCAATCAATGTGCTTCTCTCACATCATGTTTCTGTTTTCCCTCTCTCTTCCACTTTCCCTAAAAATTAATGGAAAAATATCCTCAGGTGAGGATTAACAACAAAAATAAATAAATGAAATAAAACTCTGTTTCTAGAGTTTCTATTTTATTCACCCAAGATCTATTCCACATTGGATTTTGGAAAACTGGGTTGCATCTCCTTTTCTCAGCTATTTTGAAAACTTTGGGTTAAAAAAAAAAACACTTCCCTCCCTTGAACCACCAATTCTGTAACTTTCCAATACTTTAAATTGCTCTCTCACACAAAATAGCTTCTCATTTCTATTTTCTTCTCTTAAGAATCCTCTCTAGGATAATATTCTTATTTTTAACTCCAAAGACTATGTAAATCAAGGATCCTAGCCCCATCAAGGCAAATAATTGTTTAAAATATAGTAGTAGTCAAATTAAGAGTACCAAGAGTGTGTACCAAAAAATCTTGAGGGTACAAGTGAATTCAGTAAAAATGAGGATAAACTGTAAGTTCATTCATTGTTGACTTACTGATTTTTGAAGGAGACCAGAAGATAAGAATCGAATGCAGTTCTGATTTCAGAAGAGCCAGAGAGGACACAAATTATGAAGCTCCCAGGACACACTTTCATGCACTTCTGTCAACGTAATTCTTGGCCTAGTGATTCATAGTTACTCTCCTCCTTTAGTAGCAGAGTAACTAAACTGTTCTAGCAATAGTGACAACTAGATTACCAGGTGTTTTATCTGGTTTCCAAAACCTCTTTGTTGTAAGTACTTTTTATCGAATTGATCTTAATAACAAACCCAAGAAATCTACATTCTGGGGCTTAAACTCACACGCAATTACAGTGCCTTAGTGCAGTGGTTCTCAACCTTCCTAATGCCGCGACCCTTTAATACAGTTCCTCATGTTGTGGTGACCCCCAACCAAAAAATTATTTTCATTGCTACTTCATAACTGTAACTTTGCTACTGTTATGAATCGTAATGTAAATATCTGATATGCAGGATGTATTTTCATTGTTACAAATTGAACATAATTAAAGCATAGTGGTTATTCACAAAAACAATATGTAATTATATATGTGTTTTCCGATGGTTTTAGGCGACCCCTGTGAAAGGGTCGTTCGACCCCCAGAGGGGTCGCGACCCACAGGCTGAGAACCGCTGCCTTAGTGTATATATAATCAGGTTGAGCCAGAAGTGAGCAATTGATGCTTCTTTGAGGGAAGGATCTCGAAAAACGCAGCAGGCGTGTCATCTGTACTACGTTTGTATGGGAGGGTCGGAGGAACGATCTTTTAAGTGCAAATACAATCCCCAAGCGGGGAGAGGGTGCTAACGAGGTGTAGGGAGCAGTCATAGCAGGGGTCGCAGTAAACGCCTCCCCCGATGCCGCTGAGCTGCGGCAAGAGGAGGGCTGTGGGCAACGCTGCGAGTCCAGGTGAGCTGCGTGAAGTTCCCGGCCTGGCCCCTCGGGGCCAGGATCCCCGCGCCAGCCGGGGGCGCGGCCCGCGGGATGTCCGCTGCCTTCATCCCGCTCCCCGCCCCCGCACCTACCATGGAACTCGAAGTGGCCGATGCTCTGGCCCTGAGCGTCTCGGGCCGCGGCGCTGCTGAAGCTGCCCCGCAGCGTCTTACCCTGGCTGCCCGGCGGCCACCAGCAGCAGGCGAGGGCCACTGCCAGCAGCCGCAGCACCACCATGCCGGCCCGCCGCCCGGCACCCACCCGCGGCCGCTAACCACCGGCGGCTCCCGGTCCCACGTCGGCAGCTGGGGAGGGGCGAGGAAAGAGCCGGACAGGAGCCGCCGACCGGCCCAGGAGACTGACAACCAATGAGGAGGGCGCCTGCGCCACGAGCCGGGGACATCCACCAATCGGAGGCTGAAGTGGGCGGGACGTGCAGATGAGTGCGCCCCATCACTTCCCAGCCTGTTGGCTAGTTCCCGCCTTTTTTTATGGAGAGTTAGGAGGATGTTGCTTCAGGTTACGGAAAAATTATTGCCCCGGTTGTCCACTGCGCATGCGTAGGATTGCGGGCCGGAGCCGGAGGTTTTGCAGGAGCCTGCGGGACAGCAAACCCAGGCAGCACCGTTTCTGGTGCAGAGAGGGACCCACAAAGCCCTGGGTGCCAGTGCAGCCTATTGGACGTTTCCACTTTAATATCTCAAAGATACTTAACTTTACAGTCCAATCGACTTTTTATTTCCTCCAAAGTTTCCTGTCTTCCTGAATTACATCATCACCCAGCAGGCCAGACAGTAGGGAATTACAGCGACCCTCCACCCCTTACATGCCTGCACCCAGTCAACTCAATTCAACAGATGTTTATTCGTGTGTCTTCCGGGTGGTGATGGTAGGAAGCAGCAGCCCCTATCCTCTCCAGGCCTTCAGAATATCTTTTTACTTGGCCTATGGCAACTGACCTGCTGCACCAGTCTTAATTTTCTCCAGTTGGCTACACACAGCCCACCTCTAGAGCCACAGAAAGTTTTGGGAAATGCAATGTGACTGCATTGCTTTCCTTCAAAAGTTCTCAATTGCTCTTGGTACACAACCCACTCTTTAGAATATGGTTTTTGAGTCTCTCAAATTGCCACCTGTGGTCTCTTATCTCCATCCTTACCAAGCCATGGTCAGTTCGCTGAACACTCAAAGTTCTCCCTTCTGGGCCTAGAGCATTTGCTGATCCCCCTGGCTGGATTACTTGTCTTATGCTACTATTCAATTTCCACATCACCTTCCTTTTTCTACTTTACTCTTCTTCCCCAAGGCTCTTTTTGAAGCCTTTCTCAAACCGTCAACTCTGTTAGATGCCCCTGGAACAGGAATCCCCTACTTCCCTGCCCAGGCACTTCCCATACGGTATTGTAAATGTTTATAGTAAAATTATTTCATGAAGAAATGTATATACATTATTTTCATTTGACAACCAGCTTTATTACGTATAAGCAAATTCTCACAACGGACCTCACCTTTTAGGAAAAGAAACCTTGGGGGAACACTTCCTATCATATCGCCAGCATTTTCTGGTATCTCTGGCAGACTAGGAATAAACTGGAGGTATTATGAGATTTTAAAAAACTTACATTATTTTTTAATTTGAAAGACACCCATGCAGCTTAGAAAAAAACAGTCAAAATTATATGAAATAAAAATGTAAGTCCTCATTTTCTCTTTTCCTTGCCTATACCTAATATCCAAAGATAACCCTTGTTAATAGTTTAAGGTGGATCCTTTCAGACATGCATTTGTAAATATATGTGGTATTTGCAAATCAAGAAGATGAATCAAACTGGTCCTGAAAATAAAACCAGAATATGGATCTTGAATGCTGTGAGACCTTTTTTTCTGTCTCTTGTCTTTCTTCTCTTTGTTATCAACTTTGTTTTTCCCTCTCACTGAAGACAGGCTTCTAGATTTCCTCAGTTCACTTGAATGAATATGGCCAAGAGCAAGCCCAAAATTTGTAGGTCCTCAGAGTTTAACCAGACTATCCAAGAACCTTAGTCAACTCCCGATCCCAGGAAGAGGCTTCCATTGGCCTAGGGCAGTGGTCGGCAAACTCATTAGTCAACAGAGCCAAATATCAACAGTACAACGATTGAAATTTCTTTTGAGAGCCAAATTTTTTAAACTTAAACTATATAGGTAGGTACATTGTTATTAAATTAATTAGGGTGCTCCTAAGCTGGCCTTTGCTAAAAACGTTCTCAATCTGATTGAGGTACGTTCGCTGAGGTCGACCCCTTCCAACTCTCCCATCCACACTCGTCTTGTACACTTGTTTCGTCTATCTCCTTTCGTTCATCCTCTCTATATGTCCAAACCATCTCAACATACCTTTCTCAATCCTGGACACTACATCTTCTTTCACTCCACAACGTTCCCTAAAATTAACTTAAGAAACTTTACTTAAAGTTTTAAGTCAACTTCGCACTGTACGTGCGTGCCCACACGTGTTATTTTGTGGAAGAGCCACACTCAAGGGGCCAAAGAGCCGCATGTGGCTCGCAAGCCGCGGTTTGCCGACCACTGGCCTAGGGTGAGTCAGATGCCCTTTCTGGGGCCTGCAAGGAGGGGGTCAAATTGGGGCGATGATAAAGGGTGGGGAGCCTGGTCATATAAGACCATAAGTATCCACAATGAATTTGGTCCTCATTCCATGTTGGTACATTATTTTAAAAGACTGTATATCAGCCCATTGGATTTAAAAAGTGCAACAGTATTAGTAGACATTTACATTGTGTCTAGTTTTTCATTATTAAGAGCAATATAGCAATGAACATACTTGCGTTTTCCTGCAATTACCTATATTATACATCATAGAATTTGGGGACCATAGGATATGTACACATTTGAATTTGCCCACCAAAATGTTGTAGTAACAAATGACACCTCTACATACTAGTATACCAGGTATTCCCATTCTTTTTAGGCTCTGCCAGTACATTGTTAAAAAAACCAAAAACCCGTAAGATTTTTATTCGCCTATTTAACAATATTTACTGAGTTTGTTCTGTGCCAGGCTTGGTCCCAGGCCTTTGGGATTGTATCAGGAAACAAAGCCCCGCCCTCATGGGGCAGGAACAATGACCAATTCAACATAAATGTTGATAACTGCTCTGGAGAAAGATAAAGAGTAAAGTGTTTCGTCTGGGCTGGTCAATACCAGGCAGACATCTGGGGAAACAGCACCCAGGTCTAAGGAAGCATGCCAGGCGAATCCAAGGAAAAGCAAGGATAGAGGCTAGGGCAGAGCAGGAAAAGATCTTCGAGTAGGACTCGCAGTGGTCGGCAAACTCATTAGTCAACAGAGCCAAATATCCACAGCACAACGATTGAAACTTCTTTTGAGAGCCAAATTTTTTAAACTTAAACTATATAGGTAGGTGCATTGTTATTAACCTAATTAAGGTACTCCTAAGGCTTAGGAAGAGCCACACTCAAGGGGCCAAAGAGCCGCATGTGGCTCGCGAACCGCAGTTTGCCCACCACGGAGAGGGAACATCTTTACCCTGATTGCAAGCCGCTTGCGCTGTCTGTAATAATATTAACACCAATAGCAAGAGGTCATTCTGCTATTCCAACCTCTCATCTCTATACTTGGTCAGATAACTGCCCGGGAGTTCACAACTCAACTGCTGTGTAATCTGTGGAGATCGCTGTTGCAGACGAATGAAAAGAAGGGAATCATGCATAACTCCGACCACCTGGGTATCTAAGTAAAGCCCGATTCATGCTGGTGACACTCGCCCGAAAACCTCCCAGACCCCCCTTTCCCAGACACCCCGCCTTAGATGCTAGCAAGCCCGGCGGCGGCAGAGAATCGCTGCGCCCGCCTGCGCACCCGAGGGCTCCGCCCAGCCCTCCCAATAGGCGGGAATCCGCTACGTTCCCGAAGCCGCCCCTGAAACTTTGGGGGGGCGGGGTGGGGGGGGAAGGGGCGGGAACGAGGCGCGTCGTAAAAGGTCGTGGTGGAACTTCCCTAAGGTCTGGACACCTGGCACTTTACGGTGCCAGGCGCTGCTGACCCCGGAGATGTCGGCTGCGTGTGGGGTGGATCCCCTGGGTCCTCCCAGCAGCTTTGCGAAGCGGGTGCTGGTGACCGGGGGCGCTGGTTTCATGTAGGTAACGGCGTCGCTGGCCGAGTCGTGGCCCCCCAGAAACCCCAGCCTTTTCCTGCGGCTCTGCGTGCTCTTGGCAGCTTGGGACCAGCTTTGGGTGTGTGAGACGGGGACAGTCTTAGTGCATGACCGGTATCTGCCTGCCTTCTCCCCGCTCCTGGCCTGCGAGGACCTGGTTCCTTTGAAACTGCGGCTTCTTTAAAACGCCTTCCTCCCCAGGCAGAGGGGCGGGGTACCCCGCCCTCCTACCTGGCCCGAGGTGCACCTGTCGCTCTTCTGGGTGCGCCCGTAATTGCAGTAAGCTTCTCGCCAGGTGCTTCAACCCTCCGGACCCCCCTCCCCTCCAATACACAGGTCTTGTCGCCAAAAAAATAAATTTTTGTAATGTGATAGGACATTTATTTATTCAACTGACTTAAAAATTCTCTGTTGGTACTAAAGAGGTTTGCTGCCTCTTTCCCTCGCACCCACAATCAACAAGTCCTCTCTCGGCTACTTCCAAATTAGCCTCAAGGCCTCTTCTCCCCCCCTGCCCCTTGCACCCAGCCCATGGTACTTTCTTCCTTTGCCTGGACGACTGCTGTAGCCTCCTGATTGGTCACAATGCTTCCACGTCTGTTTCTCACAAGTCAGTGTTTATTAAGTAAGCGTGCACAACTTTTACTCCGATGATTCCTATCAGATTTAGAATAAAAGCCAGACTCTCTCCCCTATCTAGAAGACTCTCACATGTCCAAGCATTACTTTTCCACTCTGATCTCCTGCCAGTCTGCCCCTAGCGTTTCTGCGCCGGCCACACTTGCCTCTTGCCTTCCCTGAAACACAGGAGGCTCCTTCCTCCTTTCTTGAGGCCTCTGCCCTTGCTTCCCCTTTGCTTAGGCTGTTTGCATCACTCAGTTCAGCTGTTTCCTCAGACGCCACCTCCTCAGGCCTTCCCTGACCACCCTATCTCAAATAAAATAGCCCCTCCCAACTAACACACTTACCACGCCCCGAAATGGTATTACGAATTGTGTTTATTATTATGTATCATTTATTGCTTGCATCCCTACTTCAGAATGTAAACAGAATGAGGGCAGAAACTGCTGCTCTCTTAGCACCCGGAAGAATGCTCATTTTATAAAGGTCTTCAGTA